TTAGATTATTTATAGTCATACTTAGATTATTTAGTTATAGTTAGATTATTTTATTACTAAATAACCTAGTCTAAGCCGTTTATGACTAAATAATATAATTATATTATTTAGTCATAAACGGCTGCATTTAAAATACTTTTTGATATTCTAGGTAAACTTGCTCAAAAAGTAAAAATACATATATTTTACAAATTTTAAGGCTGTATAAAGTATATATTAAGTTTATTTGAAATATAAAAATTTTTTTTATCACTAAAATTAATTAGGAAATAATCAGCAAAAATTGTTATGTAATCAAAAAAATTTTCTGAGTGCTGTTGGGGTAGTTAAATAACTTGATATAGTAAAAACTTGATATTTTTTTTTTTTAATAAAAAAAAATTAAAATATAAGATTTTTAATATTATACAATATTATAGAATTTTTAATATCATATAATATAAATATATAATTTAGGATAAATCTAATTGTAACAGCCTGTTACACGTCTTATTTGTAATAACCTCCAATTTTATCTGTAATGTAAACAAAAACAAAAGATCAGTCGTATAACCAAAACAAAAGAATTTTTTAAAAATTTCAAGAAACTGCTTATAACTTGAAATTTTGTCTATGAAACTGTCTTAAGTACATTAAGTAAAAGTTTTCCAAATTAAATTTTGCATATAAAAATTTTATTTGTAAACCACATACTAAATTTATTATTAAAAAAAAATAAAAAAAGGATATTACAACTTACAAATAAGATATGTAACAGGCTGTTACAAATACATTTATTCTATAATTTATATATAATATTTATTCAAAAATACAATTTTTTATGTAATTTTTTTAATAATAAATCTTTTTTTTCAGAATACTTAATTTGTGATTTAGATAAGAATGAGTGAATAATTTTATGATCCTAAATATCATATGGGCTGATTTGTTTACTCTGCATTAAAAAAAAAGAGTTATTGAATTGATTTTTACAATTTTCATTACTCAAAATTATTTTGTAATACCAAAAAATCATCTGATTGATGATCACTTAACTGAACAAAAATTTACATTTGCGAAACTTAAATTATTAAATGTAAAAGAGGTGTGAAAAAACCCATTTCACTAATTTTTTTTTTTATTTATTTATTATAGATGTGATCTTATCTTAATATAATTACGCTTACTTACATATACTAAACTTATAACAATAAGAAAAATAAAATATATATAAAAATTAAGCATTATGAAATAAGACTACTTCTCTGAAGAAAAAGTCAACCTGTCATTATATTACTATTATTAACAATGATACAACTAAAATTTTTAGATGACTGTCAAGATCTACCTAAAAATTTGCCCAATGCAACTTTAAGGAAAGCCTGTATTTTTCTTTCTAACTTAAAAACTAGCTAGCTACACGTAAATACTGTAAGGTGTAGAATGTTTAACTTAAGGAAAATTCTATCTAAAAGATAAAAACATACAATTTAAATTATCAAAGGACAAAAGCCAATAGCTCTGTTTCTATTCTATAACTGCTAGGTACAATCATACTATTTCTTATTACATAACCTTTTTTTTTCCTCTTGCTTTTGTTTCTGCTTAGCAGTTTTAGGTTCTGTCAATTCATTTCTTCTTTTAATATACTAAGGATCGATTCTTAAAATATCGAATCCACTGGTCGAAATAAAAACTTTCGGTCATGTGACAAATCGGCTGATCTGTCACATATTTCGGCCAAATTTCGGAAATTATTAAAAATCGGCCAAATTTCAACATATATGATTTATGGTCGATTTATTGAATTATTTAATCAAATGTTACGCATTACACATTACGCGTATTAAAAGTTTAAAAAATAATCATCCTTTTTTAAACTTTTTTTAATTTTTTTCTTCCCCTCCCCTTTCCTTTCCTTCGTTTCCCTTTCCTGTTTCCTTTCTTTCCCTTTCCCTTCCTTCGTTCTCCTTTCCCTTCCTTCTCTTTTTCTTCCTTCCCCTTCCCCCTTTTACTTTTTTTACTTTTTTTTTATAGGTTCACCTTTCGGGTGGGCTTCTGAAGTACAGAAACTCCAAAGATTCGTAAGTACGAATACTTTGGAGTTTATTTTATTTTTTTTTAATACGAACGGTTACTAACCGTTCTTTTTTCTTTTTTTTTTTTAGGTTTGGCCGTTCAGGTGACTTCCGAAGAATAGAAAAAACCAAGTTTCGTAAGTTCAGAACTTGGTTTATTTTTTTTTAATATTATGAACAGTTATTAACCGTTCTTTTTCTTTTATTTTTTATAGGTTCGGCGTCTCAGGTAGGGCTTTCGAGTTCCAAAGAACGAAAAAAACCAAGATTCGTAAGTATATACGAATCTTGGTTTTAATTTTTTTTGTTTTTTTTAATTTTATTAATGAACGGTTACTAATAACCGTTCCTTTCTTTATTTTTTAGGTTCAGGTAGGCTTCCGACTGTCTCTTATACACATCTAGATGTGTATAAGAGACAGATCTACTGCGCCATCCGACGTGATATTTTTTTTTACCATATTTTGGGATCTGGAAAGGCAACCAAATAGACGCAAATTCTTAATATAGAACTAGCATCCAAACCGGCTGGCCCAGTACTGGCAACCAAGAAGGATAGCATGGCACTACATACCCAGCCGGTAATCAAAAGGCTTTAAAATGGAAAACAAATCACCACCTACTTAGTAACCGATCAACCGTGAAGCCTCACCAGAATAAATTATACGAGAAAGCATTTATTAACACACAGCTCATAATAAAAAAAGGTATATTTAGATTATTTAGGCATAGTCGTATTTAGGTTATTTAATCACATGATCACAAATAATTAACGGAAAAAGGCTAAAGAAAAGCGAATTCAAAGGGAAGGAATATAGTAAGAAAAAATAACTAGGTACACAAAATTGACACNTTTTCTTTATTTTTTTAGGTGCGGTGGGCTTCCGAAAAATGAAAACCCAAAGGTAAAGATTCGTAAGTACGAATCTTTACTTTATAATTTTTTTTTTGTTTTTTCTTTATTACGAACAGTTACTAATAACCATTTTTTTCTTTATTTTTTTAGATTTGGGTGGGCTTCTGAAGAATGAAAACCCAAAGGTAAAGATTTGTAAATACGAATCTTTACTTTATAATTTTTTTTTTTAATTTTATTAATGAACGGTTACTAATAACCGTTCTTTTCTTTTTTTATAGGTTCAGGTGGACTTCCGAAGAACGGAAAAAGGAGGACCTTTAAGATTCGTAAGTAATATACTTACGAATCTTTTTTTTTTAATGTTATGGAACGATTACTAACCGTTCCTTTGATTTTTTTTTTATAGGTTCAGGTGGATTTCCGTCTTTTCAAGGAATGGAAAAAACTAAAGATTCAATATGAATCTTTATTTTTTTATTTTTGTTTATTATTACGAACGGTTTCTAATCGTTCTTTTTCTTTTTTTTTAAGTCAGTGTCTTCCAAAGAATGGAAAAAACTAAGATTCGTAAATATGAATCTTAGTTTTATTTTTATTTTTTTTTATAATATTAACGAACAGTTATTGATAACCGTTCTTATTTTATTTTTTTAGTTCAGTGGGCTTCCGAAGAACAACGGAAAACCAAAATTCGTAAGCAAGTACGAATCTTGGTTCTTTTTTTTATTTTTTATTTTTATTTTTTATTACTACGAACGGTTTACTAATAACCGTTCTTTTCTTTTTGTAGGTTTCAGGATCTTTAAAAAAAGTGGAACCAAGATTCGTAAGTACGAATCTTAGTTTATTTTTTATTTTTTTTAATATTATTATGAATGGTTATTAATAACCGCTCTTTTTTTTCTTTTTATAGGTTTGGTGTCTCAAGTGGATTCCGATAAACAGAAAAAACCAAAGATTCGTAAGTAGAATTTTGGGGTTTTTTTGCTTTTTTTTAATATTATGGAACAGTTACTAACCGTTCTTTTCTTTTTTTTATAGTTTTGGTGGGTTTCCAAAAGATCAAGATTCGTAAGTATATACGAATACATGAATTATGTGATTGTGGAATTGTAGATTAGCAATACTTATTTGTAATATGCATTTATAAATAAAGTTGTGATTTTATTGCGAATATCAAATAAAATGAGTTGTGGCTGAATATTAGTAAATAAATTTAGTACAAATTTGCAATATAAATTAAGTAACATTCGGAAAACTATTCACCAAAATTTGCTATCTGAAATTGTTCCAAATGTTAACTGAATTTTGGCCAAAATTTCAAGCTGAACTTTAGGCGAGTGGCAGTGAATTGCAGCCAAAAAATCTGCTAAAGTTTGATCAGCATTAGACCATAAATCAGCCTAAAATCAGCTGGCTGAATTTTGGCCGATTTGGACTATTTTGACCAGTGATCTAATATCTTCACATATACATTCATCTCGTAGCTTATCTACTTCTTGGAGCATTGATTTACTTTTTGTGTAAAGATGTTCTACACATCTGTAATCTTCATCTGTTGGGACACGTACAGCAGCTATTCTTCTTTAAATATTCTGATTATAGCAAAGTCATCTTCATCATAAATATGATTGAATATAATTTCATCATTTAAATCATTAAAGTGTTATCTATTGTTAATATCGCTGTATAATCACATGAGATCACTTGATTTAACATACACTTCTTTAAGTATTGCTTCTTTTGTTTTGAACATGTGGTAAGACAAGCGGAAGAGTGGTGTGAATAAAACATCACCATTATCCAAAATGCGCCACTTGGATTTATTATTCGCTAAACCTCTAACTCTTCTCTTCATGAGTATTTCTGCTTTTCTAGTACCAGATTTCAGGTTATCTTCTTTATAATAAGAATAAATGACTCTATATTGTATAGGAATACTACTTTCATAATGTTTGTAAGACTTTTTATTTTTATAAGCAAGCTGTTTAACGAAACTTATTCCCCTCTTTGGCAGATAAATTTCCTTCTTTTTTTTGTACATTAGATCTTTAAAGATCGCCTTCTTTAATGAGACCTTGGATGGTTGTTGAATAATCTATTTCTTACATTTCCAACACATTTTTCTATTTTTTGACATAGTTATAGCTAAGGTTGCTGGAGAAACTAGGGGTTTTGGCAAGTTAGCGAAATGCCAAAATAGCGAAACTTTGCCAAAACTATATAAAAGTCTTGTTAAAAGTTAGCAAAACTCTGGAGAAAAGCGAAACCTGACGAAACTTATTATAAATGCTGAAACTAATAAAATCTTACCAAAAATATAATAAAACTATAGTAAAATTTTGGAGAAACTAATCATAGAAATTTGGAGAGGTTTAGGCAGATAACCTTAGTTATAGCACACAACTGTAAACAAATATTACATAGCAGCCTGAAACCAAAATACCATGTTGTATGTCTGACTAAAAACCTGATATAGGTTGTTGTTTCATTATTTCTGAATGATATGAATTCTAACCATTCAATTAATAATTAATGTTTTTCTATCAATAAGGCATGCAGTTTATTGAAGTATTTAGTTCTCATCCCTTGTGATATTGGCAATGCAAGCATTACTGCCAGTCAGGTACTTGAAGATGTAAAATTTAACATTCACATTCTTTCTGTCACTAATAACGTCATGTGGTTGTTTATACCTATTTATAATTCGTTGATTATTTGTAAACACTTGTAATTATGTGTTATCTTTTTTTAAAGAATCAAAATCCAATAAGGTGTAAGAATTACTCTTATTAGAACTGTATAACCTATTCGCATCACTAAAATGTGTTAGCTTTTCAGTCACAAGATGTATAATATTGATGGATAATCTCTTTTCATATCAATCATTTTGAGCAAATACAGCACCAAGAATAAAAAAAAATTGAAAGGTTTGTAATGAAAGTTGTGATAACTGTTATTAACTATCGTTAATAAATATGTTTCGAGTATGTTCATTCAGTTTGCTCATCCGTATTGGTGACCCTAGCCCTTCTACACAATAAAAGAGCACTTATGACATAGCTAGCCTAATACTATTACTACAGCCAGAAAAACAAAAGAAAGAAACCAATATTTCCTCAAAAAACCCTGGATTTTTTCTGAATATTGTAGATTAAAAGTCAAGAGTTCTGTTTTTACAAGCAAAATGTTGTTTTCTTATGTGGTTCAGTGACAAAGTCACTTTTTCAAAATTATTTTTGGAAAATTATTTGGGCGTAAGATCTACCAGAAAGAGTCTTAAATATAAATTATGAACCCATTTTATTAATAAAAAACCCATTTCTCATATATATGGAATTTTTAACATATATTATTAAAAAGTAAGTATATTTTAATAAAATATAAAGTAAGATAAAAATTTATATAGTCTTAGTAGCTATAAATGTTTATAAAAGTATAATAAAAATATCATATAAAAGATGGTATCATAATAGATATTTTCAAACAATAAAAATAATTATTTTATGTCAGAATTTGTATTACCATCTTTAGACGCAAATATATCAAGATTCACTGATCCGTTTTCTATAATTTTAAGCTCGTTGGAAAGCCCTTGTTCTGGACTTTATAGGCGAAAAAAGAGCTCGCCGATTGAATCATTAAATCCAGAGATATTTACGTTTAAAGTTGAAGTATAAACTTTTTAACATGCTTAAATGCAAATATCTTGGGATCCACTGATCCGTTTTTTATAAATTTAGGCTCTTCAGAAAGCCCTTGATCTGGTCTATATGAGCGAAAAAAGAGCTTGCCAATTGGATCATTAGATCTGGAGATATTTACGTTTAAAGTTGAGATACAAAATTTTAATATATATAGTAAATGCTAAAAATTATATTAATTTAAAAGAAATATTTACCAACTTATAGTATAATAACATTAAATAAAAGTTTTTTAATACTCACCCAATTTACTGTATATTATATAGTATTTTGTATAATAAAAATGTAATAAAATCAATATTTTAATTAAAGGTAAACAAATCAGCCCATATGTTTTTGTATGATTATTAGATGCCAAGTTATTTAATATATTTTTTATATAAGGCCGTTCCATTAATAATTAGGCCAGACCAAGCAGATTTTTCATTTAACATAACTCCTTCCCCCCAATATTTCAAAGTTTAATACAAATATAATACATAATATATAGCCAATAGAATTGTGTCATGTAATATTTACCGATCACTTTAAAAAATATGGTCACGATACTCCTTTATAATGATATATCATACTACCTAAATATGTACTCCTTTTTTAATATCTCTTTAAATTGAAAATAAACACCTGTTAAAAAAAATTAAGGTTTGAATACAATTTGAATAAAATGAGTATAAATTTTACGCGTAATGAGGGTGCTATTAATCCGCAATTCATGGTAAAATGAACATCTAAATATGCTTTATCTCTTGATTCAAGTAAACGAAAGTACTAAGTGTGTTATTTCTGAGCGTATAGTGAGTATAGAATCTACAGATAACCAGTTTAAAGACCTTTTTGATGCAATGACATCAGGACAATATAATGATAGAGAGGTTCAAGTATTTGTTAGACAAGAGAAGTCTGAAAACTGGCGAAAGGTTAACAATAGGCTAAATGGTGACTTAAACATGTTAGAAGTTTTGGGCTTCTTGCAAGTTAAATTTTGTCTGGTTGTTAATACAGGCTCAGATACACCAGTACCAGTTTCAACTCAAAATCAACTAAATTTTTTAACATTTTAATGAAAAATTCAAATAAACCTTTACTTTCCCAGCATTGAACTGTGTACAATAATTATGATCAACTTTACAATGAAATTATTGAGATTTTTCAAGTCCAAAAAATTGGCTGGATAGGTGGTTTACATGATACAATCAGCAAAAAATTTGTGACTTGTTTCACAGATGCACTCTGGTATATCAATCCACATCTTTCTACATTGCATGCACGTACATATCACCTTCCAGTTTTTTTTACACAGCTGTGAACTTATCAGGATGGTGGATCATACAACAAATTTTATTACACTAGCCATCATAAAAAAAACCTGATGTTACAGCAAAAGCTTGTTCAGCTTTCAAGTTCTCTTGAATTGTTTATTAATCAACCATGGGTATGCAATGATTTATGGAATCAAGTAATGCCTGAAATATTGTTTTTGGTTGAAATTCTAAGAAAATATTCAGAATATCTAGTTACAACTACTGCTAGTATGAGCAAGCTTCATCATAGTAATGAAAGTGCTCGTAATTCTGAAAACAGCAGTACTATATATCAAATTCCTGCCTGCAAATGTGATAGCCTTCATGAAAATTATATCCAATTAAATGATGCTATACTTGAAAAACAAGTATACAGATATATTGATATTCAGCCATATCTTCCAATCAATATTATGAAACGGTATTGATTTATTAAAGAATTGCAGCTCACTTTTCCAATCGGCATATATAGGTTAGTATTTTTATATTATATATTCAAAGGTTTTTTAATAAATTCATAATAAAAATTATAAATTATAGATATCATCAAGACAATTATTTAGGAACCATTAATTATATATGAAAAATCCCAGATGATGAAGTGTTTAATAATGAAGAAACTTTGAAAGCACGTATGCTGGCTAGAATTCATGAAAGATTGCCACATTATTTTTCATGACAAATGCGAAAGAATGTGCTGAATAAGGCAACAATAATATGATAATGTAATTGATATTCTAATAAATATTGCATTATCTTATGAATTTATTAATTTTTTAGTATTCTTATATTAGTAAAGTTTCACCAGCTGTATTATGGATGCTTTATTTTGATCTTACTGGTGATGTTTCTGTGACTTCAAATACTATCTCTCATGATGTAAAAGAGAGACTACAATTAATGCTGAGATTGACAGATCTCACAATTGTATTTGATTTGTGAACAAATAATGGATTTAATGGAACAAAATTCAATGTGTTTTGGAATGAATTGGAAGCTTATTTCAATGAACAGGTACAAAGATTAGTTTATTCAAATATGCTTTATTTATTACCATTATAATCTATGTTATAATTTCACTTTCACTTAATAGAATTTGCTTGTAACAGATGAATGACGCCATGAATCTGTTTTATATATGCCATTGGCTTTGTCTGTTCGTGATCTTCATAAAATTATAGTGGAAAGATTAAAAATTATCCACAATAATTCCCTTCCTTTCACTATTCATATTCTATCACAAGAATGGATTCGCTTTCAATTTTGTCCTACAAATGCCACTACAACACGATCAATACATCACACTAATCGATTTAATGTGAAATTTCAAGTGTAAAGTCAGTTACTTTGAAAAAATAGTGATAATGCACATTATTGTGCAGCACTTTTCCGGTATCTTAGAGAATTTTGCATTCAATACCATCAATAGACGTGTTTAATATCTGCAGATGATAAACATAAAATACCTATTGAAGTGGATGTTGCAGTTTCTACAGGTGTACGAAATCGACGTTCAATGGTTGCTCAAGACAGTATTTTGGCTGCAGCTGACCATGACTTTACCAAACTTTTTTTAACACCATCAGTCATATTTTTTATTTCGATTCCTGATGATATTTCTGGGTCATTTTATGATGGTCAGGTATTTGTATCTTACAAGGATACCGTTTTTGAACCAAGTAGTGCTATCTAACATTCAACTGAGTTTTTAAATGCGCTTGTTACCAGTTATGGCAGTAAATAAGAGTCAGATAACTATTGATATTATATCGTATAAACACTCAATTATCAATGGGATTCTTACTCAATACTACCTATCTTGGTATTCTGGTATTGTTCGTTAAGAATCGTCAAGATAACAACTACAAAATATGATAAAGAATAGTACGCAATAGTTATAATAACAACTGTTATATGACTGTTAGAAACAATGTGTAATATTGACCAAATATAACAATTTTATTAAATAAGTGTAAATTCGGGTCTTTACAACAAAGTGATAAAAAGTGACAGAAAGGGATAGGAAATATATCTTAAAGATATTTAGCGACAAAATAACTACAGAAAAATAGCTATGAGGTAACTACTCTATCAAAGAGTTGGCAGAAGGTATATTTATATCTTATTTTATCTAACTATCATCTCTTTTTCCTGTCATCAAGGCAAAATCTAATCTATAGATGTCTATTGATGGGTTATTGATTTCGTAATATATTAATACGATTATACAATACAATTATAAGCCACTTTTAATAAAGTACAAATGATAATTTTAGACGGTTAATTACTATTGAGCTAATTTCCCCACAATAGCTTCTAATTAAATTCAATAAAATTGTATACATATAAATAATACAAATAAAGAAAATAAATAATAATAAATAAATAAATTAAATAAATTGAAATAACTATAAAAATGATATATAAGTAAATCTATCAAATAAAATTAATATCTTTAATATAGTTAACCACAAATCAGCAACTATCATACATCAGCGTAAATCGTCTCATAACACCGGAAATCGACATATACACAAATATACTGAAATTCCATCGGATCATCATGCAAGATCAGAAATCACATGCGCAAAAATTCACATAACACACTTAATATTCAATATGAATGCCAAATATTACCTCCGATTTTGTGTTTTTATACTGATGGAGGTCCAGATCATCGTTGCAACTATGGATCAATACAAATTGCATTGATCTGTCTTTTTCTTCAAGGAGATTTTAATTTACTTGTTGCAGTTCGTACAACTCCTAATCATAGCTGGACAAATTCTGCAGAACGAATTATGAGTACTTTGAATTTAGGTCTTCAAGGTGTGGCACTCAAGCGTGATCAAATGAGCTCTGAATCTAAATCTCTATTTGATATGACAAATACATTAAGTGATATACGACAAAAAGCTCAAGAATTCAATGAATTAAAATCTGAATTAAAAGAAAGTATAGTGAGTATTCAAGATTTATTAAATAGTCGAACAGAACGACTTTTATTGAAAGACAAAAAATTTAAATGCCACAATTCAGCAAGTGAAAAAAGCATTAATGAATTATTTGAAGTAAAATTTTATCATTTTATTTCGTTGTTTTGATTTCTATATTTATAATAATATTCTAACTTTTAATTAGTCTATATATCTTTATTATAGATTCAACTTTGAAAATTGAAGAAACTACACAAGCACAAATCCGTCATCACTCTGTATTAGTTGAGTTTATGAATACTCATTGCCGTGTACGAGCATATAGCTTTCAGTTATGCAAATAATGCAATTATATTTTTTAATACAATGCTTTAAGCTTTACATATTCTTATTTTAATGTTTTATTTTTAGATTAAAAAATGCAACAATACTACTTGTTTGTATTGTAAACCAATTCGCCTTCCATCATCTGAATTTCGTAATTTAAGTTTTCTTCCAGACCCAATTCCTTCGCAAAGTAATCTAATTGTATTTTGTATTATACATGATTTCGATCTGAAGATAATGATTTTTCAAAACAAATAGATAATACAGATCATTATGCAACTTTTCAAGACATTTATAGAACTGAAACTACTGAAAAATATAGACCAACATACATACAATCACAAGTAAATGCGGAACCTATTCCAAAGTCTATATTGGTTGTGAGAAAAATCCGTAGTTACATTAATTGTGAAGATTGTGGAAAACGTCGCTGTGTATATAGTGACAAATCATTAACTTGTAAAGAGCAACAAGATTATCAACAAGCATTGGATTCATATTCATACTCTTGTGGTGCACTAATTTTTCTTGATGATCATTATTTGAAAGAAACAGTATTTGTGCGTACTCGAATCAGTTGTAACTCACCAATTGAGATTCTGTATTATTCAAGTCACAAATCAGGAAACTATCTAATATGTTATTATTGTGGAGAAAGTGAAGATTTGGTAACGACGCCACAATCTTTAAAAGAACATTTCAAACAAATTTATCCATTATGTGAAGGATGTCAGGGTAATGGGAAAGAATTCTATACTAAAGGAGAGATTAAAACTAATGGGTGTTCTTCTAAACATCATAAAATATAGATAATTTTACATGTAATAGTAAATTTATAAATATAATAATAAAGTATTCATCAAATTCATAAAATTAACAAACATGAATGTAAAGTAATTTAATTAGATGATGTTGATAAGACATTTTTTGAAGTGTTTTTTTTTTGGTGTTTAAAGTTAAAAGCGTTAACAACAAAAGGATTTATTTTATCACATTGTAAATGGAAATTTTGACAATGGAAATGATCAACAGAATATAAATGGAAATTTAACAACTAATGAAAAATTTTATTTGAGTTACATATAATAAATAAACAACGAAACTATAAAAACATATAATATATGTATTATTTTTAACCCGCCCCCCCTTTTATCACCCAAATTATGTTATGTTAAACGAAAATCCGCTTGATCTGGCCTTAGTTTAACGTCCTTTCTGGCCAAAAATTTTGAGGAGGAGGGAAGGAGATAATTTAAACAAACATGAAAATTAAACATATTAAAAATTTTGGAAATTTTCGGTAAAATTGGAAATTCTCAGTACTATTAAATTTTAGTAAGGGAGGGGGTGTTTTAAGCATATTTAAACATATATGTTTAAATCACCCTTGAATTTTTCAAAAATAGAGGGGAGGGGACGTTAAACTAAAGATTAAATTGGAACAGTCTAACTGTAATTATAAATGGTTCTTTTTAATATAAGATTTTTGAGGATAGGTGTGATAATAACTATAGATAGATTGTGACTATATAGGATAGATTTTAATAATAAAGTGTTTTGAACATTCAACTGGTGTAACTATATAGTAGAATGTGATTATATCAGTAGTGACTATAGAGAGAGTTGATTGTATAACTAATATTTTTTTTTTTTTTTTTTTGATTATAGCATATTTGGATATTTTATTAAAATAAATAATGTAAATCTATTTACATATATTAAAAGATAAACAACTAAATTAATTTATTAAGTATTAAACTACCTGTAATTACAACTAAATAATTATGTGTGTACTGTTAATTGGAACTTCAAATTAGAAAAGTACATCTTAAAGATATGTTTTTTTAAAGAAAAACCCCTTTTTCTGATATTACTAATATCTGCCATTTATCAGTAAACTATTATAAATTTATAATACATTTATATAACAAATTCAATATACTTGATTTGGATTTTTATTTATAATTTCAAACTGCAAGAATTTTTCCCTTTCTTATTTATTAAATATGTTACATTTGAACTAATAGAGCTTTAATATTCAGGCCTTTTAACATTACTTTATATGACAATATTATTTTTGGACTTAAAATTTAATATTAATTAACTTTCAAGTAAACCATAAGCATATTTAAGATAACTTTTAATAATTAATATTTTATTTTATAAAAATGAGCTAAAAAGCTACAGAATATCTATTGAATTTTACCTATTTTTATAAGCATTAATATTTCATTATTTCTTAATTCTTAATCTTCTAATTCCTAAATTTCTAACCAATCTCATTAACTAAACCTTATAGCATTATATCATTTAAGCCTCATGTTACTTTATTATTATATTATTATACTACTTTTCACATAATGATCATGTATTACTACTAAATCAATCCTTTTATATAACTAATACTTTATTCTTAACAGATAATAATAATAATAATTTTTTTTTAAAAAAAGTAAATTTTTAACTTAATACTAATTTTTAATAAAAAAAATATGTAAATTATGATTGTATAGTTTTTATTATTATAATAAAATTTTAAAATTTCCAAAAAATAAATCATAAGTTATATTTGAAATAAATATGATATAGTATACATTTTAATTATAATAAATAATGTAATTATATTTACTAATAAATAAATAAAAGTTTTATTATTAAAAATTAAGAAGATATCTCATTAAAGTTATAAATCAAAAGCATTATTAAACATTTTATAAAACTCTGAAAATATTTATATTATAATAAACCCAATCTAAATAAAAATCTTTAAAATCAGAATAAAGTAAAGATAGTAAAAATAAAATTAGAATACTAATTATATAAATTAGCCAAAATTAAAAGAAAGAATTTAAAACATTAAATAATATTAGCAGATTTTTTTCAGATTTCTAAATATGATTATAAAATTTAGTGATAAAGTAATTATAGATAGTTATAATAACTTTAAGTATTGATGGTAATGGAATATTTAAATTATAAAAAATCTTTGAAAAATCCATTAAAAGGGAATTTTCCTTTTAATTAAATTCAAAAATAATCAATTCAATTGATCTGATTGGCCAAAAAATATCCGAAGGTATTATTTATTTACTGATCTAGTAGTATATAAATGGGTTATCATCCGAAACTAATATCATTTCAATTTATCTTGTTTTTATAACAAAAATGACTAACTATCATTATCATAATAAAAAAACTATAAAAAAAGGTATGCTCAAAGCTTATAATTCTATTTGATCGTTATTGATTGTGATACTTGAGCACAATGATATCACTATCTAATCATTGAAGGAGTTTGCTTGAGAACGGTCCTAAATTAATTACCTAAATTTATATTAATTGATGATATATATATCAATACCATATAGTTGTATTATTGTAGACTCACATGATCATGGTAAAATATTATTGCGTTATCTGACCAATATATCCAAAATTGAAAAGCATTATCAGAGCATGATCCTACTGGCGGCTGCACAATAAAGTTCTTAAAAGAAATCCGTCAAATAACTGACTCTTTTTATAGATTGCGTCATTTTTTTGATTCCAAATATGTGCTCATATGAATATCACAAGTTCACGAAAAGGTTTACTTAATTTATTTAACACTCTCCTTTTCGTAATTATTGCTTTTTAATGTATTTCTTTTTTACAAAAATAATCGGTCTTTTTCTAATTGAATTACGATCCACATGAAGGCTCTTAAAAGTCTATTCGATACCGAAATAATCTGGTTTATTTCATTTCTTCTACTATTCTTGAATTTTCCATATGCTTTAGAAGCAGCAAATCAATTTATTTTGAATCAAGTTGAAAGTGGCGAACCAACAACTGTTTCTTTGAGACATGTATTCCACCACGGTTCCACAAAGTATCCAAATCTATTTCGTCGTATGGACCTAACGGAAACAAAAGTTCGTACTCAAGAACTCGAATCTGGCGCGCCTCTCACGTTCACTCTCATGGGTATAAATGGCACCGGTATTGAATATGTGAAAGAAAATGCCGTAAAAGAGTTTAGGGATATGTCGAAAAATAAATTAAAGTCAGCTAAATTGGATTGGAGGGACATACCAAAATATATACCACTTATAAAACATTGGAAGACTCTCATCAATCTAGCTAAGTTGACATATAATGCTTACGTCAAACCTGAAGACCAAGATTGGTATGATCTCGGTAAAAAATATGGATTGGTGCGTTTTTTCTTTTTTCCTCCTTTTTTTTTTGGTAAAGGATTCGGTGAAATTTTATCATAAAGCCATTTGTTAATTTAAAATAGAATGATACTTTTGGATGGGATCAAGATGGTATCCGAGGTTATGTTTTTGCTTCAAATGATAATAAGACATTAGTCATTTCGATTAAAGGAACTAGTATGGGATTTGGTGCTGGTCCAACTGTAGGCAACGATAAATTTAATGTAAGTCATAGTGTCATACTAAGTTTTTTTTCAACGTGATTATTACTTTTATGATTACTGATCATGAAATCTTTTAGGATAATCGGTTGTTCTCGTGTTGTTGTGCGTACGTAGATCGTACATGGTCTTCAGTCTGTCCTTGTTACCTAGACAATTACAGATGTAATCAAGATTGTTTAGAAAAGAGTGTGGACGAAGACGAATTATACTTTGCAATTACTTTGGTAAATTTTTTAGAAAAAAACTGCATCTTTAAATTATAATTGTATTTAATAATAATTAAACATTATAATCAATTAGAATATGGTCGATAGAATCATGAAAGAATTCCCTAAATCAGTTATATGGATAACAGGACATTCACTTGGCGGAGCACTTTCTTCATTAATAGGACTAACGTATAATATACCCGCAGTAGCGTTTGAATCTCCAGGTGATAGACTGCCAGCACGTAGATTACATTTACCTCATCCACCCGCATTACCAGCGGAAAAAATGAATATTTGGCACCTCGGCCACACGGCAGATCCCATTTTTATGGGTGTTTGTAACGTAAGTGGATTCATGTTTTATAGTTATTTTTGATCGAGATTTATTTTAATATAAATTTTGATAATCTTAGGGAATTCGCAGTTCATGCTACGTAGGTGGATACGCTGTAAGTTACTTTTTAACATTAGTTTGTGGTTTTTCATTATTCATTAACTTGCAATTTTTTTTTTTTTTACAGATGGAATCGAAATGTCACGTTGGAGTTACATGTTCTTTTGATTCCGTAGAGAAATTGGGATGGCGTGTTGACATTAGATCACATCGTATTCAGGAAGTTATTGACAAAATATTGAACGTTTGGGAGACTCTTTTCGGCGATTTTCCTCATTGCTATTCAGATGAGGATGAAGAAGAATGTGTTGATTGTGGTCTTTGGGAATATATTGAAGGCATTTAAAATAGAAGTATGTTTATATAGTTTACTTTGAGAGTAAAAAAAAACTGAACATTTATAGTTTAAATATTATTTTATTAGTTTGATTTTATAATTTACAAGTTATTTCTAATAAAAGATACCTTTAATAACTTACTGTATTCATATTGGAATAGCTTTTTATTATCGCCCAATTATTCTTCACATCTGTTCGCGGGATTTTTTTTCACCAAAATTTAATTATTTATTTTATATTATTTTAACTCAGAACATAATTTAAAAAATGAAAAACGTCATAGTAAAAAGATTTATATTATATCAATAATACTAAAAGTTATATAAGATACTAAAGAGTTATTAACTAATGATAAATAAAACATTGTTTCTGTAAAAGATGGAATACTTAGAATATTTAAAAGTTTGTAAGAAAACAACTGAATAAATATTATATATTTTTTCTCTAAATGCATCCTCTTAAGTATATAAAGATTATATAAAATTTTTCTTTCTAAATGCACCCTTTTTCTAAATGCACATTTTTTCAAATTTTCATTATAATCCCAAGAGGGATGCATTTAGGAAGAGTTAGTTAAAAATATTTAATATAATAAATATTATAAAAAAATTTTAAAAATATTTGTATTAATAATATATGAAATGTAATTTACAATTTAATAATATTTTAATCTTATTATTCAATAATTATTATATAAGAATTCCATATAATACTTCATAACTACTGATTTGCACTAAAGTTAATATTTTTTGCTTATTTAGTTTTTTGCATATTTAGTTTTTTGCATTTATCTTAGAATTAAGTAATTTTAAATAAACATTTTTTGTTTTATAAATCTTATTTATAGCTATAATTTTTTAAAAAAAATCAGTCAAATTAAATTACTAAATGTTAAAATAATTGTAAAAGACCGATTTTTAAAATTTTAAATTAAATGAATAGTCAAATTATTAAGTTGTTTATATATATATTCATAGTTAAATTATTAAGTTGTTTATATATATATTCAAATTCTATTATATATATTATTTATATCTATATAAGACCATTTCAAATTAATAATTAATTTAATGTCCTTTCTGGCTGAAAAATTTGAGAAGGAGAATCAGAGAAAAGAATAATTTAAACAAATATAATATTTAAATATATTAAATATATTGAAATTTTTGGAGATAAAATCAGAAATATTCGGTACATCTAATTTCAGAAAAAAGAGAAAATTTAAATATACGTTAATATAATGTGTTTAAATTATTTTAAAATTTTCAAAAATAAAGGAAAAGGAGGATATTAAACTAAAAATTAATTTGAAATGGCCTAAGGGGCATGCCAGAAATCAGCTAATTTGAAAGGAAATGAGGGACCCAAATGCAAACATCGACAAATTAGGTAGACAAGACTACGAAAGTTTTCACACATGGGCTAAGCAGTTAAATTTCAGATCAGGTCTATATATATTACATGACATTTATATATTTAAATATAAATGTAAGTAATTTAATTATTTTTATGGTGCTGGTAAAAAGTAATCAGAATTGCAAAAAATGCGATAAATGAAAAACTAATAATTAAAATTGCTTCAAATTTTGTAAATATTTTGCCAAATATGTCATTATTATATATATAAATTATCAGCTGTTTATCTTATTTCTTTATCTTAAAATTGATTTTTTAATTCAAAAAAAAAATTGTAAAATATTTAACCTATAAAAAATCTGAAAATTCTGATTATAGCATTCAAATTAAAATTCATAAAAAGGTTGAATGATACAAATTAAAGTTTACATCAAGTTAATTTTATTAAAAAAAATTTGACACTTTTATTTGTTAGTTATTGAGAAAATTAAGATCACAACTTAATCTTAACCTTTAATTTTAGTAAAAAAAACTAAAATTCAAAAATTAAGTTTAAATTATAATAATTATAGAGGATTATAATAAAGTATTTTTAATGTTAGTTTAATAATATTCAAAATATTTGAAAAATATCAATTAAACAAGTATAATGTATTTAAATTTTATTTTATTTTAATGATTTTTGAGTTAACATTAATGTTAATTTATAGAAAAACTAACTAATTAAGTAACAACCAAATTTTTTTAATAAATTAATTAAAAATATATTTTATGTTTATAATTTTTTATTATAATTATATATGTTGATTATTAATGACTGAAAATAATATTAAAATCTTTATTAAATTTTTACCTTGCTTAAATTTTTAATGGAGGTTTTTTTTTTTGAAAAAAAAAAATCAATTATGAGACAAAGAAATGAAATAAAAAGCTGAAATTTTATACACTTAATATTAATTCATTTGGCAACAAATCTGTAAAATTTGAAGCAATTTCAATCACTGGTTTTTCATTTATTGCATTTTTTGCAATTCCAATTACTTTTTGCCAGCACTGTATATAAAGAACCTGCCTACTATTAAGATAAGTTATTCTGTGGCCTAAAGTAAGATTTACATATAAAACTCTTTAAAGATCCTACTATAAAAGAAAATTTTATATTACATTGTTATGATTTTTTTCCTTTTTAGTTAATTAACCAATAGAATTTAAGCAAATCCTAAGGTAAGGTTTTATATGAAAATAAAATTTCTACCGGTAACATATCTTAGTAGTAGGCGGGATCCTGTATATAACTAATTATTATAATGCAATTATCTTGACTTCTAGTGATCCAATTTTAATAAACTTCTTTTTTAATTTATAGCTCTCATTTAGCTCTACAAATCTAGCTTTACAAAATAAAAAAAGTTTGTTCAAATTGAATCACTAGAAGCCAAGATATTTGTATTTACATTATAATAATTATTATAATGCAATTATCTTAACTTCTACTAGTAATCCAATTTTAATAAACTTTTTTTTTAATTTATAGCACTTATTTAGTTCTATAAATCTAGCTTTACAAAACAAAAAAAAGTTTGTTCAAATTGAATCACTAGAAGCCAAGATAATTATATAATATTAATTATTATGTATAATATTTAATATTTAATAGTAATAATTTTTTTAGCCAATCAGATTTTAATCAGGTAGGGGTGGGGGTTAAGGCTACTAATTGAGAGAAATCAGCTGATTTCTGGCATGCCTCTAATAGTAATAATTATGTCAGTCATATTTTACATAAAAATAATAAATATTAAAGTTTTCTTTGTATGATAAAAATTTGTATAATTTTAAAAATACAAACATATATTCATATTATAAAAAATTTAATGATACACTTCTGAGTGAAATAAAATTCTAACTCTTATTATATATTAGTTTATAGAGTTGTTTGATCAGCATTATTTGATCAAGAATTTATTAGTTAGTATAACTGATCAGACATAAACTCCAGTCTAACCAATAAAAAATAGAATAATTGTAAGTATTTAACTGTAACTTTATGAAAATCTATAAACTTATTATTAAAAAAGAAAAAGTAATAGTCATATACTTATATTTTAAATCAGTAATATTATACAAAATATTATTATTACTATTATTAAATATAATAAATTTTATTAAATTATGTATTTATTTATAAAATATTTATTTGATTTATCAAACTGGAATATTATATACAGTCAACTCATGTTACAACGAATTTCAATTTAACAAATTATTTAATACAATGAATTTTTATTATGATACAGATTTTATCATATAAATAAAATTTTGCTAAACTGAATTTTACTATTTTTTTTTTTTTTTTTTTTTTTTTTTCTTTCAAAATTAATGAATTTAAATTCAGAGTAAAATTAGTTATGTTGTTATTAAATCTATTATAACATTGTTAATAATATTTTTTGTTTTCTTATAAGCCCAACTATACCACCAGTTATTACTAATTACCGTACCATTCTGAAATTAAATAACCCCTGAAAATAAGCAACCCTGGCCCGCATTATAGTGATTTTGACCAGAATTATAATTACATTGGCCGGAATTAAGTTCAAAAAATGGTTGTTTAATTTCGAAATGGTACGGTAGTAAATACATCTGATCTTGAGCTTTTTTTCCCACTCTATAACACTTTAATAAAATGTGATTTTCATTTAATGAATTTTCAGACTGTACTGAATCCAACTCAATTGAAATATCATCAAGTACTACAATTTAATCTTCCTGTAAATCTGAATAATTGTTCTTCTTTAAAGTTTGTTTACCCTATTTTAAGTGTTTAGCCTGTTGGTGAGAGGATTTAAAATAACGATCCATATTTTCAGATTCATTTAATTTTTCTTTTCTTCCAATATTTCTAGTCTTTTCCCATGCAATAGTAGCATTACATCTTGGTATCCAAATTAGTTCTTTAAAGTGAATAATAAAGGAGTTCAGAAGTAAAGCCAAGAATAAAATGTTTTTTGTTTCTGAGAATCCAAATGTTTGTTTTAAAATTTTGGAAATATTGGTGTTAATTTTAGCTTTCAAGGCCAATGAGCTATAATCAATAAATTTTTTGTTATTATGTTGTAATCCTAGTATCTGGTTTAATTTCTCACTTATGGCTTTAGGTGTGTTTTCTACTGAATTTTACTATTAAAATGCTGTATAACGTATAACGTATAACGAAATAAACTGTATAAATTATATATATAAAATAAATCACATTATAATGAATTTTTTTTATACCAAAATTTTTTTAATTATAATAAAGATTTGCCACAAAATGTATTTTTTTTATAAGAGATATAAGGGATGTTTGCATTTTGTATTTCATGTTAGTTTTCATATTTTCTATTCTTTTTTTTTTGAATGCCAAAAGTTAAACCTATTAACCTGTTCAAGAAACAACTTTCTAAGAAAACTTCTGCCCCTAAAAAATGTAAGTCTTTTACTGCTACACAAAAATAAGAATTTTACTTAAAAAAAAAATTATCACCTTTCTTAAAAAACAAAAACCTAGCCAAAGAGTATGATGTTAATAAAAAGATGATTTGTAATATTCTAAAGACAAAAAACCATTAGCTTGCTGTGGATTTTTATTTATATCAAGCTAATTTGAGAT